GAACACTTATCGTGCAGCGTATGCAGAGTGCCAGTTTGAGTGCAGGGATCTGCCACTGTATCGTGCAGCGTATGCAGAGTGCCAGTTTTGAGTGCAGGGATCTGCATTCAGCATCTAGGGGAACCGTGCCGCGAGCAGCACACGCAGCACGCCCGGCTCGGCCGAGACGGCGCTCGTTTTGAGCTGCGGCACCTTGAAGCCGAGCGCGGCATCGAGAGACGCCATGGCGAGCCACGCGGCACTTCCGCGCAACGAGCTGTGCGGGAGAATCTCGCACAGCCGCACGCTCTCGTAGCACGCGTCCTCGCACCGCAATGTGCGAGGCGACGTCCGCTCAAAGGTGCACACGCTACGTATCCGCTCGAGCCCCTCCACCGCATTAGTCCTCGCCAGCGCGCCCGAGCCGGTCGGCAGCCCCGAAAAGCCGAGTCGGTGCGGAAGCCGTCCCAACGAGAGCAGGTGCCCGAGAGGCAGCATCGTGTCGCGCCAAAAGTCGCCGTACGAAGGCTCAAAAACGGGCCAGATCATCGTGAGGCCTCCGGCCTCGCCACGCAGTATGGGTGACGGCGGCACCGCTCCGGCGCTCATGTTGTGGACGTCGCGCTGGAGGGGGCGCAACTTAAAGCTTTCGATGGGATCACGCATGAAGCGGCGCTCGGCGAGGACTTGGCGCACCTGCGATGACGCGTTCGGCCCGTACACGTCCAGCCGCCACGGTCGCTTGCGGCATCGAGCGGAGCACGTCGGCTGCGGCGTGGACAGCGTGAGGCACGCATTGTGCAGCATCGAGCACCGCCAAGTGTTGGGCACGTAGGACGGCACCGGGTTCTTGTGGTGCAGCACCAATGGCTGCGTGCGGTCGGCCATGGTGAGTCAGCGTGAGGCTGTGGACGAAGGAGCACAGCCGCGCTGTGAAGATTCGCCGGGCCTGGAGACAGCACCCCGAAACGATTGGCTAGAAGAATGCGAGAAGAGCTGAGCCAGAAGCTGTCGCGCGAGTCCAAGTCAGATCCGCGCGCGAGGGACGATCGTAAGTTTCGTTCCCCGTGTGAACTTCCGCCCTGGGAGGCAACCTTGGCGACTACGACCTCCTCAACCCCTCGTCGGCAGCGCGCCGCAAGCAGGTCCTCCTGGAGGAGGGCTGGCCTCGCGGCGAGTTGCCTTCCAAGGTGGGGTTGCGCGAGCACATGCAGGCTCGCGCTGCGCTGCAAGATAAGGGTGGGCCTGGCCTACCATGGCAATGGCCCAAACCGCTGTGGTGATGAGACCGGTGAGTACTT